CGAAGTTTGTGCTGTCAAGTGGTAAGTACTGTTAAATGTAAGCAAAGCAGACTCTGTAATTATAATTTTGCTAATCTAGACAGAAATAGTTGATCCCAGTCCCTGAGAAAGGCTGAATAGATTATTAGTCAGATTTCTCATCACCACAACTTATTAATATTATTATTGTTATTGTTATCGTTATTATTATTACAAAATATTCCATAGCAGCTGGCTGAGGCAGAGCTCATAAGAGACCAATCACTAGCAGGGGGATCAAATAAATCTGGGGATTCAATATCTTGACTTCTTTCTTAAAAAGGTCCATTTATTTTATCACAAGCACATCTCAGCGTTCCGCTTGAGGAAGGCAGCCTTGCAGGAATTGGGAAAGTCAAGTGGAAGCAAAGGAGGATTATGTGGCAGAGTTTTCAGAGTGGACATAGAAGACAAATGAGAACTGTGTTTTAATTTCCATCTTGGAGACAAACCCGTGGTGTTCCCAAGGACGTGTCTCTTCTTCGCAGCATTTCCTATTCGGTAACAAACAGTCCCTTCCTGGGGTGTTATTGGGGCGAGTGGTCATGGAAGACCCACTGTTGCCCAGAGGGAGAGCTGGAGATGCCCAGATTGTCCTGCTGGTGTGGTTGGTCAGAGCACCCGCTGCCAGACATGAGCAGCAGCTGGGGATTGACTGCAGGACTCCTTCATGCCACAGCTCAGGATCTCCCACCATGTTTGCATTAGGCTGAACGTGGAGTGAGTATAAACCAGTGGCATCCTCAGCTCTCCTGGGAGCAAGGAACACAACATGGATGCAATGGAAGTATAACTTCCTTTCTTCCTCTGGGATGCTTGGGACAAGACTTCTAGTGTTCATGGGCAGAAAATTATGGCAACAAAGCAACAGAGGTTTGTAAGACTGCATCCTGAGACATACTGAAAGTGAAACCAGATTTCATGAGAGTTTGAGTGTCTCTGCTCAGGCTAAATGGGATTTTTTCCAAAAATTTATCAAGAGCTCATCAAATACATATCCCTTCAGCATAACTGGAGGCTTTTGAAAGATAAGTTGGACAAAAAAACATAAGCAAAAAAGTCCGGAGTAAATAGAGAATTAAGGATCATCATTTTTCACAGGGGTATCATTAGATCCGTTGTTGGAAATGCAATTGAAGTAGAGGGATAATAGGTTCATTGGAAAGGCAAGTGCCTTTATTTCTGGGTTAGAAAGCAATAGTGGACATTGTGATGGATGAGGAACAGTGGACTGGGAAGATGAGAGGACATATGTTTCACAGAAATCACCTTTTCTTTGCCAAAATTTCTGACCTTGTAAAATTCTAAGCTACTTTCCTTGCAAACTGGGGATTAGACTAATTACAACTTTCTAATTCACAGTACACTGTGATATCCCCTGGACTATTTGGGGGAGGGGAATTGTTTAGTGTCTTTTAGTATTTCATATTCCCATTGTTTTAAAATGTTTCTTTTTAAGAAAATTTACTTTGAAATACAGATTATTGAGAGAATAATGTCCTCTGAGCATTAGGCAAATTTACCTCCAGTTCAAGATATTTCCCCATCTCAGTTTTCTCTTAATAAGTTAATCAGCATTTAAAGGGGTTTTTTAAAATGGTACAAATAGAGCGCTGTACAATGGCTATTCTGTGTACACAACATACATTTAGCAATAGAATATATATTTAAAAGGACACACTGAGGTTCTTCTGCCCTGTCTATACCTGAACAAACTGAAACCGAAGGGCATCTGTCAGCGTGGATAATGTACAGGGAAGATGGTGGTAATTAATGGTTGTGGCAGGAAACATCCTAAGCTGAAGAATTTAAGTAAAAACATTGTGATCTCCCTTTTTTTGTTCTAGGCAGATAGGAAGTAGAAATAAACAAATGATGTATTTGAAATGCCATTCAAAGCTATTTCTTTTGTACAATGTCTGTCTATCAGGCAAAATCATCTCATAATGCTTTGGACTATGGGAGTATATGTTAGCAAATAAATTTTGTTAGCATCAGAAAGAAATTATGTAGACAAATTCATTATCTAGACAAATATAAATGATGCTTGATGTTAACTAAATTCATTACTATACAGAATCTGTTCTTTAAAATTGATTTACTTTTATAAACTAGTTTTTTCTTAACTAGCTTCAGGAGAGGCAGTAAGGGATTTATAGAATGTTTTTGTATGTTCTGAGCACTTTACCTTGGTGTATAGAACAATACCTACCCCAGGTGAGTGAGCTCAGCCTTCAGTGAGGTGTCCAGCCTTCCTTGGTGCTACATCAGCTGCCCCTCTGGGGTTGGTTTGGTTTGCAGAGGAGGAGCAGGAGCTCCCTGGATCCCTGTCAGGGATCTGAGTGACCTGATGGCTGACCTGTAGTGCATCACAACTCTGTGTAAGGCCTGTGATGCATCTTTGCATGGGGACCTTGGGCCAATTGACAGCTCTCCCAGGGTCGGAGGTTAATTCCAGCTGAAAGTCCTTTGCTTTTCCAGAGGTTATAGTGTAGCAAACAAATTGGCGCTTTCCCTTTCTTACTGCCTTAAAGCAAGGCCGCTTCCATCCTGATGGATCCTGTGTAGGGAAGCTCAGCTTTGTGCAGCTGTACTTGGACAGACAGATCCTGCTTCACACAGGAGGCACTGCTGAAGCTGTTCTTGGTTGCAGTGGAGGAAACGCAGAGCCTGGAATTTCATACCACTTTAAAACAAACACACTGCAATTGATAAGGTAACATTTAGGATATTTTAGCTGACTGATTAAATCGCAGTGTAAAGCAAAGTGGGCAGTACTTAGACTGATTTGCCCTTCACCAGCAGAGCCCATTAATTTGTGTTGGATCCAAGGTGTTATGGCTGTGGTGAACCTACTGAAGGAGATTTTATCATCTCATGCTGTTTAGTGTTGTCACTCTCCTTGTTTACAGCAAAACCTGAGTTACTTAAGATTTGAATTAAATGTAACAGCAGTTGAAGTATGAACTTAGCAGCTGTATTTACAAGTATTGCACCTTCACAGGCTTCAGTTGTGATTGTGTTTTATTAGGTACCCTAATAAAACAAGAACCAAGGCAAATCTCGCTGGAAGGAAATGCAAAGCAAAGCTGATCTATATGTTCTTGCTTAGGCGGTTTCTAATGACTATGTCAGATACCTCTATCTAAAGTAATTGCATATCCCATCTAAAATAGCTATACAAAGAGGCACTCTGCTCACTGGTTCTGTTGTTTTCTAGGCCTGGTTAGGAGGAGGGTGCTTCATGCCATTCTTTTCAGCAAAGGGCTTAAAATAGTCTTAATTTTCGTCAGTGGCTAGAGGTGGGATGTAGCATCTGCTTAGCAGATGCTGAAGTGCTTCAGTGCTAATTCATTGCCTCATCCAAATAGCCCTAGAAACCTGTTTGGATTTTCAAGGACATTTGATCCTAGGTGTATTATCTAAAAACAAAATGTAAGCCAGATATAATAGGGTTAAAAGAGGTTGGTGATGGAAAAGAATACCACGCGGAGGGGGTTTTAAGTTAAAATCATGACCAATAAAATCATGCATACTCACAGAAGTTAGCAGAGTTTCCCTCCATTGCTTAAAATTGTGTTGCTAAACCCTTCCTAATCTTGTAAAATTCCTAACAAGGCACAAATGTTTAATAGGAGCAAGCAGGTTTTTCTACAAGCATTTAATCTGGTTATAGTTTTTTACTAGTGCTTTGTAATGTTTTCAGCACTTTCAGCCTTTCAGCTTGTCTGCAGAGGACCCACAACAAAGTTCATCTTCTGCTGAACTCACTGAGTGACTTACTGGCTGCTTCTTAAAAAACTGTAATCAGCAGCTTTTTTTCTAAGAAACGTTTCATGTTTCAAATAAATCAGTGCCTGAAACAAGCTCTGCTAACTCTCAGGCATGCTTTCTTCATGTCAGCAAGGATCGGCTGCAGTTTGCATTGCTTTGAACTTTACTTTGATAAAATTGTGTTTGGCATTTATCATTCTTCCATCAGAGTCAAGTTACTTTTTAATCTAGATTTTTAATATTACTTAAGTGTTAAGATCCATCTAAATAATGTCAATTATTTCATCTGTAAAACAGTAAAGAAAATTTTCTTGTGTCTATCTCATATTAATGTTATGAAGTTCATTTTAGTAATATTTGTAATAAATTTTTAACTTGGAGTCACTTTAGATGTTTTCATCTAATCTCTTTGATGAGGAGATACAGGAATACTGTTAAAGGCTGATTTTAGTCCTTTTTAGTGTCCATGGGATCCTTCTGTGGTTAGAGAAGAGGAAGAGAAAATCTAGGAGAGATTCAGAACCCTTTGAGTTAGGTTCCTTCTTTGGTATCTCCCTGTGAGGAAGGAGCTGCTCTGTTCCTTGGCTGCACCAGCATCTTCATCTTCCTGAGCATCTCCTGTCTTACGTGCTTGTAGAGCACCCAAACAAAGACTCTAATCCTCACTGAGGCATTTAGAATCATTAAGTATTAAACCGTCTTAAAAATGTAGAAGCCATACCAGTTGTGATATATTAAGACAAAGGGGGAAATATCTTTTTCCATGTGCCAAAAAAGGCATGTAGAGTGCCTGTATGAGATAGGGGAGCAACATACTGGACTACAAGGTGTATCGGAGCAAACAACATTCCCACCCATTTCTGTGCACTGCTTTGATTCTGATGGGAGCAATTGGTTTGATTGGTTCTTAGGACCTGAAATTGTGCTTCATGTGAGCAGATTCTGGTTTCAGTTGTTCAGAATGGGGCACTTCTTCAAAACCGCTAGATTAAAAAAATAATATAGTGTGGTAATGCTACCGTGTTACACTTAAATAAATCAGCCTGGATGCTTCTCCTATAGAAGTCTGTTGTGATGTAAGAGTGGAATATTATTTATAAAGAACAGTCCTAATATGCCATAGCATGCTTTATATAGTAGTTTTAATAGGTACTGTTATTGAGATACTGTGTTGTTTTGTGACAGTAAACCTCTCTGAAACTATCCAGAGTCAATTTTACATTTTGAGAATAAACCCATTCCTGTTATTGCAGCTGAGAGTGCTCTGTTTTGAACCCTGCTTAAACAGAACTCCTGTGACCCACCTGCAACAAATAGTGTCTGCTTCCATACGTGAGTATGGATTTGGGCAGCTGAAGCAGGATGTAGGTGCTTCATTTAGGTCACCAGTCAAAGTCTCATGGAATATATTTAATATTTTGTACTGTGCACTGTTAGAGCCTATGCAGTTCGCAGTGGACAGGGTTTCAAACAGAATATAGATTGTTATAATTTTGTTATAATTTTGCAAATGCTGGACTGAAGTGTTGGTAAAGTGTAACCCAGTGGGTTCATTGCAGCCCCAGCTGGACATCTGTTCCCATGGTGGAGCTGCTATCCAGGCTGCCCCTGCAGCTAGTGTTAGGGAAGGGGAATGCAGAGGGGCACTGGCAGTGCCTGGAGAAAGCTTCGACAGTACCTGCCCAGTGCTGTGGTCTGACCCAGCTATTGATAGGTGTTCTTGAGATTCAGGAGCTCAAAGAGGTGAAAACTTAAAAAATTAATAATTTGGTTTGTGAGAACAGACTTCCATAACTTTCTCATGATTCAGATTGGAATTAGGAAGTCATCACTTTGGAGGCTGGATTAGTGTGGTGTATCAGAAATGCCCCCTCAGTTTTTCCTTTCTCTGTCACAATTCCAGTGCTGAATTGTCAAGTAGCTTTTTTTTCTTCCCTCCCAGAGCTGCATGCGTTTAAAAAAATACTGAACACCAATTAATTTGTCTAATTTACATGAAAAAGTGCAGAAGATGTGTTTTTTTCGTAATTAACTATATTTTGCAATTCATTAAAATTCTGCAGCCCTTCACATAATGGAGCCCTATTCACTACATAGGAGATAAGTGCTTAATTCCAAAAGGGGCAGACAGAGAAGGAAGAAAGGAAGTGGAGGAGGGCAAGATTAGCATTTTCTATATTAGCTATGCATATTCATGAGGGAAAATGAAGTCCTGCCAATTCATGTTGTCTTTAAGTTTATTTTGTGGGGGTATTCACAACACTTACCTCAACAAATGGTTCATGTGGCTTTTTCCTGGTTCTAACTGAGCAGGAACATGGTGGCAGGCTTTTCAGTGAACCCAAAGTACACGTCACATATGAAGAGCAGACAGAGGTTGTGTGTCAGGGCATGGCCTGCTCCCCAGGGCTCTTTTTCCATGTGGTACCACCATTCAGAGGAAACAAGGAGAACAGCTGGGGAGCCTGGAACCTCCCAATGAACTCCAGACCCCTCAAGGTACTGCTGAATTATTAGCTATTTTGGAAACTTCCTTTTCTTTATAGTGCAACAAGCTACAAGAAAGCCATCTATGCAATTTTTTCACTGTAGTTATTTGTTAATAATTTATTCTTTTCTCTGCAAGGCCAGACCAATCGTAGGCAACACTGTATGTTATGTGCAACATAACATACAACCCCCCACCCCTCTTGGGCACATGCATGGGGTGGGGGGTCCCCAGTAGGGAGGAGAGCCTGGCACCTCATGGTGGTCTGCCTCTGTGTCATGGGGAATCTCACCCAGCACTGCTAAACCGCTGTGTTTCAGTCCAAACACATTGGACTCCTGTTTTCCTTAGGTCTTTGCAGACAGTAGGGCCATCTCTGCTGGAAATCTTTGGGGTTTTTCCCTCTCCTGGTGCAGGCTGTCCCTCAGCCCCTCTGCAGCAAGGTGTCCTTCCCAGGCTCTGCAAGTGCACTCCCCTGGATTTAAAGTTTCCTTCCAGGGGTAAGCAGGAACTGGGGCAAACAAACACAAGAGTTGAACCACTGTCCCTAACAACCTGTATCTCTACTTTACTTCTGCTTGCATAACAAATTAGTAAATTTAGATGCAATAATAAGTGCTTACTCCTTTTTTTCACTGCCCTTACCATGGTCTTTGGCATTAGATCAGATCACCATGCAGCTTGGGGCTTTTTCATTTTACAGCACCGTCATCCACTTTCTCTCACAGCCAGCAGCTGGGTGAGCCCTGACAGCTGGCCAGGAGAAAAGTTTGCCCAGAATTTTGCTCTTCCTGTATATCTTGGCTCTGCCTCTGTCTCAGATTTCCCATTAAAGAATTTTTTTAATTTTTCTTTTATAAATTAGCTCTGTTGTCAGATAAGCCTCCAGCGTGCGCATCAGTTTGTTGTATTCCCCTTCGGACTGGGATGTTGCTTCTTACCACCGAGTTGGCAGGATGGTTTTCCTCACCCTTGCAGGCCTATCTCAGGTGATGTTGAGCATCTACTCTGCTGTCCCAGTGTCATCAGGAAAGTTCATAAGCAGAACATGATAAACTGAGATATGGATAATATTTAATAAAAACAATATAGCAGTTTACATACTTTGCACAATTTCTATCTGTTGTTTGAAAGAAAGTATCAATTCAAAAGTCCAAGCGATAGGAAAGACAGAAAACAGTTGTTTTAATGACAGGGCTGATGACATTAATCAGCATTAACTTAAAGCCACGCTGCACAAAATGCTAACTCATATCTAATGCTGGAGTTCCAATACTGGACTGAGTCTCCAAAAATTGTCTTAATGACGCACTTCTGTAATTTTTTGCAGCATATTTAGTTAACATTTTACATTTCAGGATACGTTAATCTGCAAATCAGGGGTCTTTTTCATTCATCCTTTATTTCATTGTGCATTTATATCTGTGTATTTACCTATGTGTGTATATATATAGCTGTGGAGACGATGGCTGGAATAATGGGGAGATGAAAGGAAGAGGGAAAACTGGAGAGGGGAAATGAAACCCAGAAAGCTTCAACCAGGTGTAAACGGCAAAGTATTTATATCCCTTCAGCTGGCTTTGGTGCAGGGGGAGTCTTGAAATCTGGCGGGGGAGAGGGAGTTCCTTTTGACCAAGTCACACCGTTTACCTTGGCTGCTCCATTCATTTCCCCTCACATCTGTTTTATTTCATCTGGAGATCAGGAGGAGAGCCAGTGCTATAGACACAACTTTGGGAGCCACTGATTTGATTGAGTTCTTTTATTTTGTTACCCTGCATGTAAGGTTTCTGAATGCCAAAACTTGAAGCAGTAACATAAAAAAAGAAATAAAATTTTAAACAATTCTGCTTTTCCTAGAAGCTTACAAGTTCAGACTGTCACCCCAAAATAAATCGTAAAGCTGCTTATTACCACCTACCCCACAACTTGTGCAGGCACAATCACACCCAGTTAAGAGGAGCACAGGCCTTTGCCACTAATACAAAGTGCTGCAATTCAAAACATCCCTTGGGGCTTCTGGGTTCAGAAGGATCAATACATAACTAGGAAGGAGCCTGATCTACAAAGTTATGATCTGAAATTAGAAGTTTCCTAAGGAGCGGTAATGCACGGCAAGCACAGTAATGAGAAGCAGGAGGCTGCAGCCTGCTCTCAGTCCCAGCAGCAGCTGGGGCTGCCGGGCTTTCTCTGGGAAACACACCAAGCCAACGGACCCGCTGGCATCGCCCTGTGTCCCACTGCATCACTGCCCAGCCCTGGGCAGTCTCTGCCAGGAGGGAGTGTGAGAAATGTGTCACTGTGCTCTGACTCCCTGAGCTGTCAGCAGTGCTCACGGGGCTCTGAAGCCTCCCTGACTCACGCTGGTGATACCAGCTGGGTCCAGTGCAGCATGTCCTGAACGGCTTGTGTAGGTTGCTCCCACCTTGTGCAGATTGCTCAGAGCAGGCTGGCTGGCTCACTTGACACATGTGTTGGTGCTGCTTTTAGTCCTGCAAGTAGTGTATATTGCTGGGTTGATTTTGTCCTTTTTCTTTTCCTAATAATTTGGGGGGGGGGTGGTTGTTTTGTTTTGTTTTGGTTGGTTGGTTTGGTTTTGGTTTCTGTTGTTTTTGTTTTATGATGCACAAACCTTTGGGATGTAATTCCTAAATTGAAAATTTAGAGAGAATGTGAACAGTGGTGGTGTGGTCCTGGATGTCAGCATTCTTCTTTAGCTCAGCTGGCTAATGAGTGGAGTTCCCTATAAACATTCTGAAAATCAGATTAGCCGGCCAGTTTTGGTTGGAAGCACTGTAATGAGAATGACAGAATTTTGCATTTCAGAAAATTAGGTTCAGTCTTACCACCACTGCTGTGCTGGGACAAGTTACCTGCTTTCTGGCTCTCAGGTCCCTTATCTAATGGGTGCATTATCAGGAAAAACTGCACAGGAATCAGTGAGAGGTGAAGCCACTGCAGTGATGGAGCTGTGCCATCACCTGAGACAGGCTGTAATACCAGTCATGTTTTGAACACCTAAACTACAGGACACACTAACAGTGAAGCACCATTCCATTTACTTTGAGGCAGTTATTTCCTCTCCTTTTAGAGCAAATTTATTCTCTCCCTGAATATACCCAGTTATTCTCAGGAATAAGGGAGGGTATGGGGGACAGGCAGCCCAGACACTTCCTCCTGCTGCTCCAGTGCCTTCCTTTGCCAGTTTACTGGCAGTAGAGAATACCAAAAAAGTGATTCCCCCATCTCTGCAGGACAACTAGGTAAAGCAGAGTGACAAAGAAAAGGCCTTTACTTTCTTTTACTCCTTAAACAACCCAAGAAAAGTCATGACCCCTGAACCCTGTGGAGCTGGAAGCCACAACTAGTATTAGGTGAAGATGAACTTAAGAGAAGTAATCCATCTTCAAATGACACCATGGCTTCCAGCAGCAGGAGCAGCTCTGCCATCAGGATCGTAGGTCTAAACTTCCAGAGACTGCACTTCGTTCTGCTAAACCAAAGGCTGAATGTTTGGAGCACTCAGAACAGAGAGAACACATATGCAGGAAGAGCCAAGCGTATGAAGAAGATGAAGATATGTCATCTGCTTCCTACTGGGGAGAGACCAGAGTGACCTGCAGAGAGGAGGGGTGGCTGCCAGTTAAAAGCAATGAGGTAGCAGGGGTGAATCTTCCCAAGAACAGGCTAGGGGAGCATCCTCAGATCCAGGTTGTATTGCAGGTCCTGTTCATTTCCCAGAGCGCAGGGAGGCAGATCTGTTTGGTGCTCCCTGGTTAGCTTGATCATGAAATTTTAAATGGATATTGACTTGGATTAAGGAGTGCATCAAGATTTATTGAGCTAAGAGTTAAATACTGACTGAGGCAAAACCAAGCTAATACTTGCTCCAGGGGACCATTTGACCACTGTAACATTTGGTACATATATTGCTGTGTCTGTTTTGTGTATCTTCAGTTAAATGTCCGAAGAACATTTTAAAGGCAGAAGTTACATATATATTTTATATGTAAAAAGGAAGGACTTGTAAAGGAAAAAAGGAGTTGGGGTAGGACAAACATCGCAGTTAGGAGAAATACAGCAGTCAGTAGTGTGGAAAAAAGTCACAAATGTGAAAATAGTGAGCACAGAAAGAGACCCTTATAACCATCTCTCCTAAGCTGGAGAATCTCCAAGAAACTTTTAGCTTCTGTGTGGGACAGAACAGTGCTCACACCAGATTTCAAGATCTCAGATGATACATCCTTTGGGGATACACCTGCTGTCCGACTGGAGATCACTGCAGTGGCCACAGAGTGTGGTGTGTGGAGGAAACCAGGGAGCACAAGGGAGAAGCCAGGATTTCATTAATGCCTTGTCAAGCACTGCTAGTTGTGCTAGATTGAGAAGATTGTGACAGAACTTCCATAGCAGCAAGGAGCTAGACTGATCTCCCCTACATGGTATGGATGTTGAGCTTATCCATCTAGTAAATTAGAACATTATTAGGAGAATGATTACATGTGTTTCTATTTAGTTTTCATTCCGTTCCCAGCTAGGGTAATTGCATGTCCCTGGAAACATTTTAAAACGCTGTTTGAAAAGAAACGAGTATTTTTTATTTCAATTGGTTTTTCCAGGGATTTAATATTGCTAATGAGCATGAGATACTCCAAAGTTCCACATAAGAAGCTCACATGCAGCTCATATATGGATACTTATGAATATTTATTTTTAGAGAGAGTTCATCCTTCATTAGGTCCTATATGATATTACATAGCTCACCCTGTCTTAGATGCTGAATTCAAGGATCCCTGTTCTGTCAGATTTGTTTAATATCTTAATGATTTATAATACAGATACTCTTATAGCAGAATGGTTTGGGTTGAAAGGGACCTTAAAGATCATCTCATTCTTCATTTGGGGTTTTATTGTTTGCTAGAGATTTTTGTTGTTCTGTTTGTTGCAGCTTCATTGAAGTATTCTGTTCAGGTCAGTGTCCAGGTGACATCTTTATCTGCCACAATTAACATGTATTATTTTTAGGAAAAAAGTTAAATTTATGGTGTTCTAATGTAGATATCACGGAATTTTACCTAAAAAAAATGCAGTTGTGGCCATGGATCTGTGTTTCTAGTCCTGACTGCTTAGTATGCATTAAGGTCACACACCAATATTTTGTTAAATTTAAACACTCTTATTGCCTGTCCAAAAATGTAAGATAACTTTTGTGCTGATAAATGTGGTTTATATTAGTGACAACAAATGACTTCCCATTTAGCTCACATCGCAAATGTGAAACTGCTGTACCTTTTACAGCAGTATCTCCGTAGGAAGAGGGTGTCAGCATTTCCATTCCAGCCTCCCTCAGAATTCAACTGTAAAATCTCATTCAAAGCAGGAGCTAAATGGACCAGGTGTTAACACAATTTGAGGGGGTTACTCCTCATCAGCTGTTCCATTTTAGCAGAGCAGCTTTTTGCATGAAAAAATGCAAAAAAAATTCATTTCTGCAGACAGTGATAAAAACAACAGCTGCTTCTTGTAAGCTTTCCAAAGCCACTGCACAGGCCTCCTGAAGTCACCAAGCACTAATGTCCGTCTGTAGCCTGATTTCACCCATCTGACCCTTTGGGTGGGTTTCTTTTCAATGTCTGGCTTGTTTTGGAGGAACTTTTTATGGTGACGTGGGGGTTACTCAATTCTGACTCCAAGGGATGAAGAGAGCAGAAGACCTTTGCTTCACGTGCTTTCTCCTGCTACCTGATCCCATCTTCTCCCGTGACTCCCACATGCTCTGCTCTCGTATCTGTGAGAGCGGCCACCTGCATAGGCGGGGCGAGGGGTTGTGCCTCCCAAAATGTGTGCTGGGCAGAAGAGGGAAGGAGTGTCAGCTGGGTGGGAAGAGGCAGGTTCACGAAGGATTGCTGCTCCTAGCCCTGCTGTAGGGTGCTGTAGGTGCCTTGGATTTATCCCAAAGAGAGGTAGCTTATACATACCCAGGGCTTAGGACCCCAAGTTCAGAGGCATCTGCTTGTCTTCAAAGATCTTAGAAAAATTTTGCTCCGGTGAT